ATTTTAAGATCACGAACAAGGATGTCTCCTTTTCTCCAAAAATGTTATCACTGCACTTCTTTAATTAATTATTTATTTGGTAACAGTCAAATAAGGTGAATATTTTGAAATTAAATATCACTTAACAAATAAAACTTTTGGACTTATTGTATCACAAATTTTCTTAAGAGTCTTGTAAGACCACCTAGTTCTAAAGCTCAATGTTGTTGAGGTTTGATGACGATGTAGTTGGCAATGCAATGTCATCAGGAGGCACAAATTCTCCAATTGGTTTGACAGCATCCTGAAAGAAAGAAAAAGAAAAAACATGAATTTCAAGCCTCCTTGATTGATTACAATAAAACTGATGGTGTAAAAAAATGTGTAATTTACATCTATTGAAATCTCTATAATAAAAAAAAAACTTACTCGACTCTCTGCTAGTTTTATCATGGCTTCCTTTAACTTATCCAAAATAGCATAATTAGGTTGATTTGCAGCAGCTCGATTTTGAAGTGTAGTAATTTCTTGTTCCTCAATTTTTTTCTCACGTGGAGTTTTAATGGATCTACTTCCATACAACCGCAATAAAGATCCCCAGTTGTTAATATGAGGATGCATTGCCTTAGATAGAGAAGAAAAGAAAGCAGAAAAAATAGAAAATAGGAAATTTTGAGAAATGAGAATTAAATTAAAAAGTGTTTGTTGTTTACCTGGAGTATTGACTGAGATGCACGTTGTTTGCCCTCCCTCTTATTTTTACAAATTACAGTGGCTGAATGATTTCCCACTGACATTATAAACTCATTTTTCTGATGTCTGAGAGTATTCACTTGGTATTTAATGTCTATGTCACTCAAACCAAAATTCCTGTTGAATTTGTTTAAAAGCAAAAAAAAAATAGCATCTATTGGTTTATATTGACGAAAACAACTATCACAGTACTTTTCGAGGAGGCAACAGAAATACCTTTTTAAGCATGTGAGAAGAATGGCATAAGGTGATGGCTCTGTTGTCTTGGCACAGAATTCGTGCACACGTGGATCCTCAATTTTAATATCATCAAAGAACTGTGACCAAAGTATGTTGTCAATTTCTAAAAAAAATGTTACCTTAGAAAATTCAAAATGTGTAAAAAAAAAAAAGCCTTACGGATAGATCAGAGTTTTGAGAGCGGCCTGGTCCACGGCCGCCTTTATGACTATCATTTTCAATTTTTTGACGCATTTCTGGAATTAATATTTCAAGAGTCAATTTTGCAGCTTCTGCTTTTGCTTGCTTCTTACTAGTACCAACTCCTGTTCCATATTTCATCTTGTTGATGGAAACAGTTGCAGAATAGGGTGTTGCAGGGTTTTCTGTTCAAACATAAATTTAGTTTGGATCAGTAAAATATGGCCACAGCTAACATTACAACAGCAAAATTAAGAAAACTCACCCAAATCTTTAAATTCATAAACAGGTTGCTTTTTTAGAGCATGCTGGACATATTCATGTAGAATGCAGACATAGCTTTTGCCATTAGGATTCATAATCCACTCTTTTTTTGTTCGTCCATTAGAATTTGAATCTCCTGTTAAATTTATAAAATAGTAATTTTAAAAATGTTCCAAATGTGCACAAGGAAAATTTCTTCTTAAAAAACCAACCTCCTTCTAATATTGGAAATGTGATCAATTTCGTTCCGTCCGGAAGGGAAGGCCTTTGCAGCTGTCTTTCCTTCTTTTTGATTTTAGCAAACTTCCTCCTTTCAGCCCAAGTCCTGCAATATCCATTGCCATCATGATCACCACACAAAAGACACAGTAGAATTTTCTTTCTCTCTATATAAATAATGTGAAGACAGTTATACTCACTTGAATCTCATCACTTCTATAGTCTTGAATCGGAATAGTCGTTGACAATATTCACGAAGCTCTACATGACTTAAATTTATAGCCTCAGCATTCTCTCTAGCAGTCTCAATACGAGCGGCAGGTAATGGTGCACTGTTAGAACTCTGCTCCTGTGACTTAGCTGGTGACAAAATGAATAAGACAACTTTAAATCAATTATGGTTTTAGTCTCAACCATTACCACATTCAATTAGTTGAATTAACACTCAAAAAGAAGAGATATTACTATTACCAGCCTCTTCTTCTTTATCCAGATTTGCACTGGTTTTGCCATCACTTGCACAATCTACTTTAGTTTCTCTCCCTTCAAATGAACTCCGTTCTGATTCATTATTTTGGTTCCCAAGAGCGGTGTTTTCAGATCTTATATATTTTTGCACACCACATTTTTCTTTATCTAGAGCTTTGCGATACTGCAAACAGGGTACAGCACTCATTGGAACCTTGTGTTTCTGGAAATAATAGAGTATCTCAGATTTTGTGAACAGATTGAGTAAAAAAATAAACCAAAATTCAAACTATTTTGTTCACACTTACTCTAGCACTTCCTGGACCCAAAAAATAAGGCATTGCAGTCGTGCAGACCCTTGTAGTTTTATGAAGATATATAGGTATGCCAGTATTATGAGTGACCTGGACCCAACCTTCAGGCAACAGCTCAAAATGGTTGGTACAGATCTCTGGAATATCAAAGTCGAAAAGACTAAATAATATATTATTGGCATAAAAATAACTTCAAATTTTCTATAAAAGCATTACCGTCCAACACAAGTTTTCTTCGGTTTTCATACTGCCCTGGATCCAATTTCTTTGCGTATCTTCCATTGGCAAGCTTCTGTCTCTTAACTTTGTACTTCTCTGAGAGACCTAAGATTTGTGAAACAACCTTTAATGATTGTTCAACTAAAAGAATAATGAAACTCAAATAAAGAACACAACAAACCTTCCTCCAGCATTTTCTCTATTTCATCATCCGATACATCAGAGTGATCTGTTTCTTCATAATATGAATCACTACTGTCATTGTTGTCTTCTTGATCATCTTCCTCACTGTCATTTTCATCTCCATCCCCTTCTTCATCTCCCTCATCTTCAGGTTCGTCTTCACACCCTTCTCCACCTCTCTTCCTCTTTCGATCCTTCTCACTGCCAAGTTCATCCAATACAACAAACTGACGAAGGGAATCTTCAGTGTAACCTGATCTCTCGTAGTGTGTTAGAAACTCGCTAACACCTTCAGTGTGAAGTCGGGGCTCTTCAGATTTAGAGTCCCTGTTTTCTTTGACAGAGCTTTGATAAGGGCAGGAAGTACGAGGAGGAGTAGTAGTTTCATTGTTGGTCTCAGAGGTTTCAGAGCTCTTTTGAACATTATCACCACTGGAACCCTCCATCTGAAATGTCAAATACAACAAAAATAGAGAACTTAGCAGCACAACCATTCAAAACCAAAGTGATCAAACCAGAGTAGGACATAAAAATACCATGTATTTTTCTTAAGCGGGGAACTTCTTTCAACTGTTATGATTGCCGGTTGATCTGTTAAATATTTTAAAAACTGTAAAAAGCAGTTGACAGAGAACCTAATGAATGGCAGGTTTCTGCAAGACTGACAAGGACTAAATTTTGCTTCAAAGCAAATGTTTTTCACTAATAAAAAAAAACACGTTATCTCTGAAACTTCTTCTTCTTTCTAGGGGGTGAGTCTTCCGATTCTGCAGGGGAACTGAAACTGACAAAATAGAGAACCGGCCCAAAACAAATCCATTCGTCTAAACCAAAACAGGAGAGCTGAGAATAACGACAATGTCGGCTATATCCAGTTCCGGAAACCAATTAATGGCGCGCAAATTTTAAAAAGCTCACGAAACATCAGCAATTCTGTTCAGTTGGTTGTAAGTTCCCTGATTATATCGTGTTTTAGGGGTCAGGGTCAAGCACAGAGCAGTTGCCTAAAGACAGGGATTTTGTAGAGCAATAAAAATTCCGTGAAGCTGAAATGAAGAAGAATACTTCCATTCCCCCCCCCCCCAAAAAAAAAATCATTCCTTGTTTTTCTCAGCATTACTGGAATGGTTATCATTATTGCCTATCTCCCAGACGACAGGAGTGATCGAATCGAAAAAAAGGTAACTTTTGAGTAGTAGTCTATATAGTGAGGTCTGGTCGTTTGGTCCAACGCCGATACTACTGTACTGTCCGGCACTCTAGGCTAGTAATCCATTTCGATCCCAAAATGAATCAAAATTCCAGAGAGCATCTGCAGACCACGCCATACATGCGATGCCAGTTTGCCCCCCCCCCCTTCCCCTCCTCCCCCAGCGAGTTCTGAGTTGCAGGATGCCGAAAACCAACCGAACTGTAGCTTGCAGCTGTCTGTCAACAACCCATCAGCATCAGGAATTCAGGACCCAGACCCCGTCGGTAATGGCCAAAAGGTGCAAAAGGGGAGCGATGGTGCACCCCTCCGACTTCTGCTTATTGACTCGGCAGATCAATTATTGCACAACCCTTTGCTCTCGTTGCTTTGATTCACTCGTGGTGAGCGGAAATCGGGGGAGTCAGCGTTTGGTGTCTGCTGACCGGTGCTGACTCAAAAATAAAAGCTGTAAGCCACCCCTTCCCTTTCTCGTTTCCTATTTTTCTCCTCTTCAGTCCCATCTGGCGGGCGCGGAGCACCCCGCGTGGCGCACCATGGCGCACCCGGCGCGGGCTCGAGACGCGGTACGGCGCGGCCGGCGCGGCGCGGCGAGAGAGAAGGCGAGAGCAGCGCGACGCTACACGGCACGGGGCGCGGCGGGCGCGGCAGAGCATTGATGTGCAGAGCGCGGCATGGCGGAGCAGCGCGGCGGGAAAGACAGACGGACGAGCGGACGGACAGACCGACGGATAGACAGACGGGCGGGCGGGACGCGGTGCGTCAAGCTTGTGGGTCAGAGACGCGGTGCGTCGTCGAACAGCGCAGCGCGACGCGACGCGGCACGGGCGGGAGGGGAGGTTGCTGAGCGGCAGGTGAACGGGCAACGGGGGCCCTCCGTAAATATGTCCTTTACTTTACTTTGTCGCGCCAGCCCAGCACGCTCTCGGCGCTATACGGGCGGCCTTTGCAGCTCCGCGGTTGTGGACGAGCCCTCGCGTCCACTCCGCCCCCGACGGGCTGAGTGAGCGGGTCCATGGCACCATGGCACCCCGGTCTGCGTGCAGCTGCCTGCAGGCTGCAGCCGTGCGGCTCATGGCATTGCCGGCCTACGGCCCTACGGGTCGTGCAGCTGCACCGGCTGCTCTCGCCGGTAGGCAGCCAGCGTGCGGCCGAACAAGCGCCCGTCAGCACGCCGAGTTCTGGCTGGCCGAGCCGGACAGGTTAGGAGAAGAGAAGGGCGGGAGTGGAGTGGAGGTGCATGCTTGAGGGCCACGAGAGAGGGGGCGGCAGGCGGCGGGCGCGGGGCCGTAGGCAGCCGCAGGGCGCCGGAACTACTCGCTCGGAATGTTGACCCGCCATGAGACCGCCGTGCCCAGTCAGCACTCCTGGCCCGTGTGCCATGTGCCTGGCTGCCGAGGTCCATTACTTAGCCGGCAGAGCTGCCAGGGTTCACGGGCGCAGCGCCATGGGGGAGGGCCGCCGGGGGTGATCTGGGCATGTGGGTGGGCTGCGGAGATCGGGGGGCCCGGGGTGGGCCATGAGGGTGAGTCATGAGGTTGTGCAGCGCCAGCCCTTCCCTCGACGCTTCCCTCTGCTTTCCGTCCAAAAGGAGCACGTTCTGTTCCGCCCGCTCCGCTCCGTTCAAGCCCGAGCGGCGCGGTGGCGCGGGCCTCGGGGCGCATGCGCGGCTGCGTCTACGTCACCACGTCCCGGCGCGCCATTGGCCGGCGAGGGGTGAGGTCGCGTCTGGTTGGCCGCGGGCGGCCGTCTCCGTCGCTCTCTCGCGGCGTCCTCTCCGTCAGCCTCCCGCGGCACACGCGGCCGGCCCCGGGTGGCGCCTGCTTTGAATGGGCGCGCCCGGCCTCCCGCACAGCCTTGCGGGCCTGCCTCATGGCCTGCCTCTGCTCCTCGCGGGAGGCGCGCATGACTATCGATTGGGCCAGCGAGTTGGCGCGAACAGCCATCCTCCGGATGGGCGCTGTTTGGCGTCGCGCCGTGTTCCGATAGCCGATACAGCGACGCCGTCGGCGTCGGGCCGGCCGGCCAGCCGAGCCCGGGCGGCCGGCCGACGTCGATTGCCTTCGACCCCATCGATTCAAAAATACAAGAGGGTGAGGCTAGGGCGGCGTGGTCGAAGGACGATTAGACTGAAAACAAAAGTGGAAAAAACAAAATTGTCACGCACCGTTCATTTT